CATAACTTGGCAGGGTGGGTTGTTGCCTGAAAGTAAACCACCATGTGGGAAGTGACATGACAGTTCTTCATAGCTAGTTCCATAGTCCTTGTCTGTGGTGTTCTTCAATTCTGGAGGGTTGATTCCCCCCCTTAAGGTAGAAGATCCAATGCATTGTCATAAAGGCCCAGTTTTGCTTCTAACAGTTATCTGCTTGCCCAGATGCTATCATAAAGCTTATAAGAGCTCTTCATGTTGGTGCTACCCTTTCTCATCCGTTGGATATCTTCTAGTTGAACTTCAATTATTGTTGTTTGAAGTTGCTTCCAGGCCTTCCAGAGGAATTTACTTCTCTTGAAATCCCCCTTCAATGTCCTTTTCACTTTCGGCCTCCTGGCAATATCCCACATAGACATACATTGATTTTCTTAGCCCCCGGTCCTTCTTTCTTATGGCTTCAACAATACTCTCATTTTTGCACTTGGTCTCAGGTGTCACTTAGGATTAGATCACACATGACTTCCTTCAGAGATGGTTGCCCTTCAGTTCCCATCACACCTCCCTTTTTTCTCTGCTGTCATGGACTGATGGGATTTGCAATCTGATCAGCCAATGAAGGGCCTCAAGTTCCCAATCACTGGGATGCATCCTGAAGGATTTCTTTCTCCTGGCAGTTTTGTTATATTTCTCTCATCAAGGCCAGGCCCAGCACAGTGCTCCCTCCTTGCTGAGCCAGCTCTGCACTTATCCCTTGAGCCACTGCACAAGTCCATGAAAATAATTATTAGCTTCCCCATATAATTCTCAAAACATGGTGATCTATTCTGATTCTTGACAAAGCTCAAGAGTTTTTGTTGCCTTTCCTTTGAGACTAATAAACTGAACAACAGAATCAAGGGTGACCATTGGGAACCTCTTGCATCATGCTGGAAAAGCAGGCAGGCAGGGGGCAAAATAGGTCCCTTGCTTCAGAGAGCTGGGCTAAGCTCTAGGGCAGGCTGAAATGGCCTTTTCTGTATTTAAATACAACCCCCGATCATTGCCTTTGGCTCAGAAGTCACATTTCTGAAGAGAAAGCAGCCTCCACCCTGCAGGATTTTCCTGACTATGGGGGGAGGGGGATGAAGAAGGTGTAGCAAGGAGCAGATGGACCCAGGATGTTCTCAGTGCTTTTCCTGCTGCTGCTACTTCCTTATACAACCAGTGAAATGCAGAAGACAAAATGTCCCACAAAACTGGACAAAGATCAACTGGGAGGATCCTACTATTACCGTACAGGAGACTACCTCATCAGTGCAATTCTATCCTCACAGTACTTCAAGTGTCAAGAGCCATACCATTTTTTGGAGTCCCCTTTCACCAGGGTTGACATGTGAGTAGTGAAGATTCCCTGCATGAATATCAGCACCCCAGTGGCCCTCAGAACCTGGAGTGTGCCCAGCCGTTCTTACAGCTTGGTCATCTCTTGTCAAGTGTTCTCCTTACTTTGGCCCACTATATTTTTGAGGGAGCATTAGGAGATTTGTTAAAAGAAGGTGGGAGTTTGCTCAGCATGATGACATCTGATGGGAGAATGCACTTTGTGTTACCAAAGTACAAACCGGATCTGTGCTTTCAAACTCTGTGGAAAAACCACACCAGAGCAGTGGTGGGTTCTTGGTCTTGTGAAAGCAAACCGTGGGACACAGCTTCCCCCTCCATCTTCTGTGTAGTTATAGCACCACAATCATGACCTCACGGTGAAGGTGAGTAGCATGACTCTCACCCCCATTGTAAACAGAACTTATGGGGTGGTGGCCAGTGGCATCTATCTGGGCAGAAATGGCTAATCTGTAGGAGTCCAACTTTTGAGAGTGACTGCCAAAAGAATGACTTCTTTTGTCTTTTACATCTCAAGGGGCTTTCTTGCTAGCCCTCTGTAGTAGGATTTCTCTGCTTGTACAGTATTTCGTGGGAAACAGATGATTCTCTTAGCTAAGAGAGAAGGAATATTACAGACTGGCCAAGAAACATTACTACTTCACAACAAGGATATGTTTTTTGGACTGTGCAAATATTCAGACCATCATGTTGGAGTTGGTGAGAAATCTTCAGAGATTTCTTTTGTATGAAAAAGAATTTAGGTGTGTACAATAAAAGAATCGAGAACAGTGGTGCAATGTATCATTTTTTATTTTTCTTCATTGTTCTACAGTTTGCTAGGTACAAGGTTCTGGCACATCTTGGCCTTCCTGTTTGCCATCCATGAAATCAACCAGAAACTGGAGCTCATACCGAACATCACCCTGGGCTACAACATCTATAAGTCCTATTTTGATGGAAGAGCCACCTCCTATGCCATGCTGCAGCTGCTTGCGGGTGGGGAAACCAAACTTCCCAATTACAGCTGTGGCAGAAAAATGAGCTTGCTGGCCATTCTTGAAGGGACTGGATCGGACCTCTCTGCTTTGATTTCGGCCATGTCAGGCATCTACAAAACCCCACAGGTATGAATGGAGAGAGGATGTGGGACAGCAGTGTAGAAAGAGCATCAGAGCACTGATTTGGCTAACCTCCGAACCCAGAGTGCAATTGCCTATGGTGGAAACCCATTTTCTGTTGTGTGCTGATGATGAGCAATGCCAGTCATTGGGCTTTGGAACCAGTACTTTAAAATCAAGTCTGCAGAAAATGCTAGTCAGGGCTGGTTTCCATGTTTGTCATGCTTAGACACTTCCAAACACACCACTGCTCAAGTGGGGGGGGGGGCATCCTCCAATTTGCACAATGTCTGCTTCTTGTTTGTTTCACCAGTGAATGAATGGAAACCGAAGAAAGCCAATCTGTGGCTCACAGGTGTGCAGGCTGCATCCCATGTCCAAAGAAATTTTCATCATCTTCCAGAGTTCCCCAGATATCGGAGGTTACTTAATTGTCTGCCAAACAGATCTCCCCTGGACACATTACCATGCCTAAGAGCCATGAGGAATCCCCACAGTTGTTTGCAGCAATGGGCATCATCTTAGATACTAATTGTTACTTGCCATTGTTATGTACCATTCAGATTGTTGTTACACCTGTCACTGTTGATATACACCATCAAGTCATCTCCAACTCATTGTAACCCAAGGGATGAGAACTCTCCAAACTAGCCTGTCCACGAAAGCCCCACTCAGCTCTTGTCATGACTATGGCTTTCCTGATGGAATCCACTCATCTCATACTTGGTCTTCCTCATCTTCTTCTGCCTTCAACTTTCCTGGGCAGGATAACCTTCTTCAGGGGGTTTTCCCTTCTCCCAATATGTCCAAAGTAGAACAGCCTCTGTATTTCAGGTTTGCTCTCAGGGAAAGCATTGATTAGATTTGATCTAGGACCTCCCCCCTCCCCCCGCTTATCTTTCTGTCAGTATAGGGTATTTCCAAGCTCTCCTCCAGAATCATGCTTTAAACACATCTTGTCAGCTTTCTTCACTGCCCGGCTTTCACACAGCAATCAGGAAAACAATAGTTGCTTTACTTGTTGTTGCTACATCCACTCAAGTGTTCTCCAAGTAATAAGGGGGGAGGGTGCATGAATGAAAGTCTCCAGATTGCCCTGTGCTTCACAGCTTTACTCAGTTCTAGTGTGGTCAAAGCTGCAGCTTCCTTTGTGGGATAGAGCCATCTCAGAGTTGCTCTTCCCCTTCTTTGCCTTCGGCATCTCAAGCAGAATGATTTCCAGTGAGTCTTGCATTCTCATGAAAAACCTGAAGAAGGCCACCTTCATTTAATTTCAAGAAAAGAAGTTATAGCCTTTATCCTGGAAATAACGAAAGAACAAACCTCAGCAATACTGAACTGCACTCTTTTCCTTTCGTCTTTAGATCAGCTATGGTGTGGTGGGTGATGTTTTTAGTGATAGAACTCAGTTCCCTTTTGTGTACCGGATGGCCCCGAAGGAAGAAACCCAGTTCCCAGGGATCATCCAATTACTCCTCTTCTTTCAGTGGACATGGATTGGCCTCTTTGCTCCAGACACGGACAACGGAGAGAGGTTCATGAAAGTCTTGACCCCTCTGTTGATCAGTCATGGAATCTGTGTTGCCTTCACAAAGAGACTACCTCGAAATATTATATCCCTTTTGTCCCGGAGTGAACTCTCGGTTGCATGGGGACGAGTCAATGTTGCTCTTTACTATGCAGACTCTTACTATGGCTGTGGCCCAATTATCTTGATGCAAAGAATGCTTGGAAAGGGACAAATGGGGGCAAAAGTCTGGATCATACCAGCTTTTCAGGACATCAACATGAATTTGTCTTTTGAACCTTATTTTTTTCATTTCCTTCATGGTTCATTGTCCTTCATCATGAAGTTAAAAACAAGGACAAAATATGACTACTATGAGCCCATTTCATCCACTCTGGCACTGTTTTGGAATGGAACCTTCAATTGTTTCCCTTCAAAGCATGTTTTGTCCATGAAAATGTGGAGAATATGCACAGAGAAAGAGCCCCTGGAGCTTCTGCCCCAGGAGGAGGTGGAGAGAGCCATTTCTCAAGACAGCTACATTACTTGGGACAGTGTCCACGTTGTGGCCCATGCCTTAAATGCTGCCTATTCATCTCATTCCAAGAGGGTGTTGATGGTGGATGAGGAAGAGAGACTGGGGTATCAGAGGCTGCAGCCCTGGCAGGTATCCCCTCTCCCTTTCGCAACTCCATCACAAATGGGAAAAGACTCGTGGTCCGGAGAACCAGACATGAGTGTATAACCACTCCCACTGCATGGCCTGCAGGCAGCAAACAGAACAGATGCTGGTGGGGGCAGAATCCCCTTAGATATGGAGCTCAAGGGCTGCTGAAAACCAGTTTGTGTGAAGCATATCAAAATAGATTGCTTTACCATCCAGTGAATTGAATTGACGTGTCATAGAAGACTGAGTGGGATCACTTTCAGTTGTTGTGGGCTATTGGAGCAGGAAGCTCACTGGCGTGTAGTAATAAGCTGACTGTTGGTCTTCTTCATCCTTGCTAATCAAAGTTGCCTGTGGGGAAGTGGAGGAGAAAGGGACTGGGTGGTGGGAAGTGTAGTCAGTATGAGAATGTTGTTCTCAAGGAAGCTGTGGTACAAGCACCCCTTCTCAAAGCTCCTCTGCATGCTCTGGTTTTGGGTGAGCACTGCTCAGTTGCTGAGGCCCCCTTTTAGGCTAATTATTTTATGAAGATGGTGGGGGGCAGTTGTCAATAGAGATATCTGGTTATCTGTTCTACTTACGTGGTTTGGTCTCCTTCGTGGATGAGCCTCTTCAAAGCAGACAAAGTGAAGGTGGCATATGCCTGTGCACACCAGTAACTGAGGAGCATGGAAGGGAAGGTGTTGTCCTGCTTCTGTGTTTCTTCCACGCAGCTGATTGATGAATGTGTCAATGCAGTGGCAGGTGAGACAGACCCTTGTTTTGATCCAACAGGGTTATTCTTAAATTTCTATTACCCTGTTATTCTAATGACTCTCTCATTTGCTTTTGATGCCATCATGCCTTCCAGTTTTGTTGACCATATTCATTGGTGTTGAGGCACTAGGTACTCCTTCCTCCTCAACCTTTGAAATGCTTTCATTAATTCTTTCATTCTTTGACTTCCTGAGCTGTGGGGTTCTGGAAGGTATATCATCTTCCCCCTCCCAGTTTGATTTCCCAACCGTACAGGGCCTTGGGGCATGGCCATTGGGGTTTTGCAGAAGAAGGACATGTCATATACTGATGGCATAGCCCTGCCTTGCTTCTGGATCTGTATCTTGGCTTCTGTGTAGATTCAGAAAGAGGTGAACTGGAGCCCAGAACCTGAGGTTGAATTCTGGTGAGATTGAGACAGGCTTTCCACCTGTTCTTGATGTCATCGCATTCACACTGAAGAAGCTCCTTGACCCATTGCTTTCACTGCTTGCTCAGAGTGCATTTTCCAGCTTCTTCTGATCCACCATGAACACTTCTGGGTGCGGATAACTGGGCGACCATGGCTGGTAAGTTCAAGACTGGATTAATGAAATCCAGAACTCTCTCTGAATCCAATCCAGAAGCTGCAAGAACTGCAGAAGGCAATTGCTGAGCGGTTGCTGGGCAGTGGAGAAAATCAATGTTAAGACTATTAACATTCCTTTTGATCTATCTTCTATTTTAGCATTGGAAGATTTTCAAGTGCTCAGATAAGATAAAAATTTCAGTGCATCGAAGTCTGGAAAGTCAGGATGAGCAGTGGAGAAAATAAATATTGAGACCATTTCCTAATTTCAAAATGCCAATTGTGTTCTCTGTTATTCTAGCTTCACTCTTCCTTAAGAGAAATCCAGTTTTCTAACTCTTCCATGAGTGGACTGTATATGGATGAGAACAGGCAGCTGGAAGCTGACTTTGATATTGTGAATTGGATGCTGTTTCCCAATGGTACTAAGGGGAGAGTGAATATCGGGAGCGTGACAAGACAGGCCTCTGCAGATGCAAAACTCACCATTAACCTAGAAGTCATTGCATGGCCCACACATTTCAATGAGGTAGGAAAAATGATTTACATCAGATTAGAGGCCTGTGACAAGAGTTAAGGTCTGCTTATGACCAGAGTCAGGATCATCCGAACTATTGTAAACCTGGTCACAAAGTCTGGGTATGAAAGCTGCACAGAGAAGACAGCCAGCAGGAAGACAATGGATGTGTTCCAATCATGGAACCAGAGAAGTGCTTTGTGATTACCCTGGACTGAGAGAAAGACAACTGTGTCCTAGATGAAATCAAGGCAGAGCTTTCCCTAGAAATAAAAGGGACAAAACTGAGGCAATCCAATGTATTTTATCATGTTGTAAGCCGCCCCGAGGTTTCGGCAAGGGGCGGCATAGAAATGTTATAATAATAATAATAATAGTAATAGTAGTAGTAGTAATAATAATAATAATAATAATAATAATAATAATAATAATAATAATAATATCATCATGAGAAGGCAAGAGTCCCCGGACGGGACAATCCTACTAGGGACGGTTGAAGGCAGAAGGAGGATCAAATATAAGATTGTCTCCCTAAAAGAAGCCACATTCCTGAGTTTAGAAAAGCTATCAGGTCCATCAGCACCATAAATTGGAGATGACTTGATGGTACATAAAAAGAATGGTAGAAAAAACAAAAACATCAGCAACATTCTAGCCTCCCACTCAACCCATTCCAGAATGCTGCCTCCATATTCTGGTGAAATAATGTTGGGTGCAAGAGCACCGCATGTCTGAATTTACCCCAAATCTATGGAGAGATCAGGAAGGAGGCTCTGAGGTCTTGGGGGCTCCCTAGCTGAGAACCGTGACTGGCCTGAGAGATGTGAAGACTCATAATGCCACCTTGTTAGGTTGAACCTTGTTCCAGGTGCACAGAGATCTGCCACCCAGGATACGCCAAGGCCATCCAGGAGGCAGAGCCCCCATGCTGCTACTCTTGTGCGCCATGTGTGGGAGGGACCATCTCCACTCAGGAGGGTAAGTGTCCTCAGAGGAAAAGGTGTTCCTTTGGGAAATGAGCAAGTGTTTGACCTCCATTGCCCTCATTTGATTCTCCCTTCTTTTCTTTCAATTGTTCTTTAATGTCTTATTACTCCAGTTTCTACCCCCCCCCCGAACATTTTTCTGCTGTGCCAGCACAAAAACATTTAAATGAAGGCATTCATATCTGTAATGTTTTGGGAAAGGTGGTAAAGATGATTTTCAGCTCTCCTTCTTGGGTTCCACAGACAAGGGTGAGATAGACATATATTAGGTGAGTGGCGCTCACTGGAGCTGGGGGTCAGTCTAGGTGGACAGGGAGACCCGTTCAGACTCATTCTGTTTCAATTGTTCTATATTCCTTCACAAACACACACACACTTTTTTGATTGTTTCTATATACAACCTTCCTTTTTACCCTTTTGAAAGGAATTGAAGGAAGCCTATATGGATGTTTTCCTCTCCATCTTGTCTTCATCAAAACTCTGTGAGGTAGGTTAGGCTGAAAGTCAGTGGCTGGTCCACAGTCACCCAGTGACCATCCTGGGCATGTTTAGACTAAAACCAGAGCCCCTTCAGTCCCAGCCTAACACTCTACCCACTTTGCCACACTTGCATGTGTGGGCCTGTCTCCATTTCACTCAGAGAAACTTCTGCAAACAGAAGTTTCTGTGACAGGCAAACAGGGAGCCCCTGTCCAAATAAAGGTCATGAAAATGGAATTATGCCCATTTTCTGTAACTCAGAGCACTTCCATGCCCTGTTCTGGGAATCCCTTGCAAAAACCATGACCCCAACCCCAACCCCAACCCCAACCCTAACTCTAACCCTTTGGAAAAAAAAAAAAGTATGGGAAAGAAGACTTCCTGCAGGGGTCCTACCCTACTGTTGAAACTTAACAGGGGTCCCTTTTAGTGTTACTTCATGGGGGAAGGTTGGGCATAATTTAAAAAACAAATCAATAAATAGCCACTGACAGAATCTCAAATTTCAATTTGCGAGGAATGAACCCTCGGATTTGCGGGGTAGAGCAAACGTTTGAACCTCTGTGGCTTTATAGACCTGTGCCCCAGTACCTGAAGTCACTAACAATAATGCATTACCAGGTAAAGGCAAACTGAACTACAAAATCACAGTCCAAGTACAGACACATTTTGTAACTTGCTAGTCGCATGCACCAATACAGAGGGTTAAGTTTCCAGATAATGCTGGTACAATAGCATCTTGATGTCTTTAGGCATGACATAATCTTCAAAACTGATAAGAACTACTGGGAACAGTAGTATGGAAAACATTGTGATTGCTGTATTGATTGGTAAGTCTAGCAAATCCTTGACAGTTCAGGGCAGCCGGTGTGTCTGCTAAAACATGCAATTGTGTCTGTTGGAGGAATCATTCAGGAAACCTGGTTTGACAACTCCACTCCAAGTTTGCCTCTGTTGAGCTGGATGATTAAATGGGTCCATTCAGAAACAAACTAAAGTCTTTGTCTCAGTGGCCTGAACACTGGTATTTCCCCACTGATAATCTGAGCCTCCAGCACCTTCTCAGTCCAGCTAAGCAATCCACCTTCATAATGGAAAAGCAACACTAAAAAGTAACCTGGCTGGGAATTCTGCTGCTTTGTGAGAAAGGTATGATTTTGTAGCACAAAGGCACATATAAGCAACATTTTCTCCCAGGATTTATCTGAATTTTCCTAACATCACTTCCTGCCTCTTAGCTTACAATGCCTTGCAGGATGATTGTTGCTGTTACATACCATCAAGTTGCCTCCAACTTGTGGTGACCCTGCAAATGACTCCAAAGTCTCCTCACTTTGGCAGCCCTACTCAGCCCTTGTAAACCCCAGGCTGTGGCTTCCTTGAGGGAATCAGTCCATCTTTCATTAGTCCTCCTCCTCACGCCTCAATCCTTCCCCTTCCCCATCACCTTCACCTTCCCCATCCCCATCTTCTTCCGCTCCTTCTCCCTATGATGTTCCCTAACAAGAAAATACAGATGGGGTCAAAGAATGAGAGTCAAAATACCACCCTGTAAGGCCACGTCATAGATGCTAGCTTGAACAATGCTGGATGAGCAGACTTGCTTCTCCATATTTGAAGATGTCATTTTACTAAGTCAACCCATGGATCTTTCAACCCAGGATTCTACCCTGACTAGCAACCATCCCGTGAAAATTCCTGGTGCATTTACTAAGGTTCTCCTTTAGTGATGAGGCCCTGGGCAGAATTTGCTTCTCTAAGCAATGCTTGTCCTACCCCTTCCCTCCCACATCCTTATCTTTTTTCTCAATAAAAACAAAGATGGCTGTTTTGGCTGCTCCCTTGATGATGCTGATGCTGAGGTGCTGTTCCTCCTTCCAGATGCAGAGCACTGCACCAAGTGTCCAGAAGATCAGCACCCAAACCGAAACCAAGATCAATGTGTCCCTAAGGAGATCACCTTCCTCTCCTATGAACAACCTTTGGGAATTGTCCTGACCTCCTCTGCTCTGTTCTTGTGCTTAACAACTGGCTTTGTGTTAGGAATCTTCTTTAAATACCGGGAAACTCCACTCATCAAGGCCAACAACCAGGATCTCTCATACATTGTCCTGGTATTCATCATGTTTTCCTTCCTGACCTCCTACCTCTTCATTGGCCGGCCAAGGAAAGTGACTTGCCTTCTTCGACAAACAGCCTTCAGCATCATCTTCTCTATTTCTGTTTCTTCTGTGTTGGCCAAAACCATCATGGTGGTGCTGGCCTTCCTGGCCACAAAACCAGGAAACAGGGTAAAGAGGTGGCTGGGGAAGAGCTTTGCAAACTCCATTGTCATTTCATGTTCCAGTGTGCAAGTCATCATCTGCTCCCTATGGCTGGGCATCTCTCCACCCTTCCCAGATGCTGACATGCACTCACAGCCTGGACAAATCCTGCTGCAATGCAACGAAGGACCTGTGGCCTTGTTTTACACAGCCCTGGCCTACATGGGCTTTCTGGCTGCCATCTGCTTCATGGTGGCTTTCCTGGCCAGGAAGCTTCCTGGGGCCTTCAATGAAGCCAAGCTGATCACCTTCAGCATGCTGGTCTTCTGCAGTGTCTGGGTGTCCTTCATGCCCTCCTACCTGAGCACCAAGGGCAAGTACATGGTGGCCGTGCAGGTCTTCTCCATCTTGGCCTCCAGTGCTGGGCTGCTGGGCTGCATTTTTCTTCCCAAGTGCTACATCATTGTCCTGAGGCCTGATCTGAATACGAAGGAAAATATAATGTTCAAAATCAAGCAAGACTCATGATGATAGTCTTTGGGGTCTGTCATCTGGCTTCCATCAAACACGAAAGATACCTTGCACCCCCATATGCCAAGACATCATTTTTGCCATTTTCTTCCTTTCGTATGGCCTGCGTATGCCCAGAGATTTGGACTTGAGGCTGTCCTCTGTTGGATTCATTGCGTCTCCACTGGGTTCTTAACCACACAACCTGTGTCTGTGTTCTGACAGCCCACTCTGAGGAACCTCAGGGCTCCATCTGATGTCAAGCATGAAAAGAGTAGCCCCAGTAGTTGCAGGATTAGTCCCTCACTCTACTGCAGCTGCCAGGGCCTGCATGAGCACCGACTGGGAACCTCAAGGAAGACCTATACAAGAATCGGCTCTTCCTTCCTGAAGCTGCCTTAGCAGTAAAGGTTTTCTGATTCATTGCAGTGCTGGTCTGTGTTACCCATCTCCCTCTTTGGTCTCCAGGTTTCTCCTCCTGTTGCCTTCCTTCACCAGTTTCTGACTTTTGGCTTGCCCTGACTACGTCATTGTTTCCTGGACTGTGCTTGCTTCATGTCTCTGCTCTTCCTGGCAATGACTTTGGATTGTTGAACTGGAGCAGGTTTAATGTTTGGACATTGGTGGGTTGTGTGGGTTCTAGTGCCTTTGCCAGTTGTTCCAGTGGCCATGTCACTGATTCTGACACCCACCCAGTGTGCCTAAGGCACATCATGAGCCCCTTGAAGGACCCCTGCAAGTTTCTCAAAAGGCAATATTAGCTACCTAGTCTCTTTTACACAAAACAGCATCTGGAAAGCACAGACACTTCACAATGGACTGATTCCTTGATTTAATTCTGTTCCTGATGAAAGTGTGGATGTGGAATGGGCCCGGTTCAGTGGGGATGCCCAGAACACCCTGAGGTTGTGCAAATCTCACTGAGACCTTCCCGCAAACCTTTCATCTCTCACTGTGGTGCTGAGTGACATGCAGCTGCTCAGTTTCCCTTTCTCTTGAGGAGCCAAGGCTTAGTGGGTTGCATGCAGTAGACTTCAGGGTCTTCCCGAGTGCCCCTGCTAATCCCAGGGGAATGGAAGTGCCACTTGCTTGTGAACAGCTCTGCCCTCCATTGTCAGTAGGAATGTGTAGCAGGCCAATGATAGTGCCAAAGTCCCTTGGCCTGAGCGGCAATGCTTTCCACCTCCTTGCTTGAGAAAGTTTCTTATCTTTTGGCCTGACCCCGGGTATCATAGCAGTCTCTGGCATCCTGCCAAACCAACCTCCTCTGGGGCTCAATGTTTGTGAAGCCAGGAGGAGGCAAACCCTTCCTGCAGTGGAGTGAACATGCAGCACCACTCCAGGGCCTGAACTGCTGGTGTGGGGCATGGGCACCCTACCTAGCATAGGTGAACAGGTGACATCCAAGCTGCAAAAAACACCGGCCCAGGGGCTTAGGCTGTGTTGATTTTCACTGGTCCAGTGCACCCAGCCACTGGCCATGGTTTCACATATATGCAAAGTAGCATGTTGGACAAGATGGCACTGTGTAGGTCCTGATGGATTGGGACAATGATCGGCCAGGGCCACATTTCCAGAGTGGATCTGCTGGTAGGAGAGATCACTGCATACACCCTATTTATATCTGCCAACCTGGGAGCTGAGGGTGATCTTGACATGTAGGTGGAACATCTTACCGGAAAAATGGTTTGGATCAGAGGAAGCAGGACTATAAACTGGTGGAAGAGACATCAAGCATTGAAGATATGTGGCTAACACTGTGTTACTGGCACTGAATGGGAGAAATGCATATTCTACCCATGATGGTAGGCTTAAATTTCCAATGCCTTCAATGTTTCCCAACTTCTTTCTTGTGCTTGTTTTCTGTGTTGCTGGTTCTCCAGTCAAGGTCAGGCCAAGCTTGCTTTTCCTCCCTCCTGATCTCCACTCAGAAGACAGAGTGTCATGAGTGTGATCACAACAACCTGCTTTCCTCCAGCTGTGCTCCTGAGCCCTGCTCACTCAGAGAGAGCAGTTTATTCTGAGGCTTGTCCAGGTGGGCCTGGTGCCTCTGAGGACAACTAATTGGCACCTAGGAGAAAGCATGAAGGCATTCCTTGCTCTCTGCCTGAAAAGCCTCATGCATAGAATGCTCCTGCCCCACCAGGTGCTTGACTGCGAATTGTGCCCATGTCTTTGCAGCAGCGGAGGGGAACTCTGCTCCATTTCCAGATTCCTGGAATGTAGGAAGGCGCTGCAGCCTCCACTTGCCAGGCCTGCCTAGCTGGCTTGCCCAGGGTGGAGGGGAGGCATTTTGAGGGCAGAAGCACCATGTCCTCCCTGCCCCCAGTGCTGCTGCTGCTGCTGCTCCCTCAGGCAGCCTGTGAGGTGGAAAAGGCACAATTCCCTGTGATTGTGACCCCGAGTCCAAACAGGGCGGCCAATTACTACCACCCAGGAGACTACCTCATTGCTGGGGTCTTGTCCTCACAATATTTTATGTCTCTCCAACCATACCAGTTTTCAGTGTCCCCTTTAACCAGGGTGGATCGGTAAGTAGCGATCATGAAATGCTTCTCAGCTTACGTATCACATCCCATTTCTCCTGGTCCCCACGGCTACCCCAGGAATCTGCTCTGTCTACTTTGCTTGGGGTTTGAATTGAAATGGATTGCTGGGAATTTGCTGAACATGAAGGCTCTGTTTCTTTCAATGGGATTGCATAAGGTGGCATGATTAGTGGTTCCTTGCATTGCTGTGATGTGCCAACAAGTCTAAGTTAAATTCAGATGAAATTGATGTATAGTGTAGAGAAAGGAGACAACACTCGAACCTGGGCCATCCATGAAGAAGATGGGTGTGAGGCTTAGGACAGATCAGAGGAAGGACTTCTTCACTGGCCATGTGTGTCATCCTTGACCAGAGTGGCTTGCCTTTATACCCCAGTGGCTGGG